CTGCCATCTAGTGACTTTCACTTTAATTTACAGCCGTTTGTCCCCAAAACTATTTTTGGGCACACATCATTTGGCGAAACCCAGGCATTACGTTGTCGGGTTTTCATCATTGGAGGAAAATAAATGATAGTCCAACATGTCTACAAGTCTATTTTTATTATTTATTTTTATAATATGCTGCATTTGAAGTAAAATTTTCAGGCGACCTCATTTGAATTCCACTGGTCCTCACCTGGGGTCCTGACCCCAAGGTTTAAAAACACTGCTATTGTGTTTGTGTCTTTGTCCAGTGTGCAGGATAAATGGTGAAAGTCCAGCACCACGGACAGCTCACGGTGCCGCGTCTGATCATTTTTTTAAACAAGAAAGAAGAAGGAACGTGTTTGTGTAAAATGAACGTCTTTCCTCTGAATTCTGACTCCACAGCGGCGCCGTTTTAACGGCTGTAATCCAACAAATGAGTTCAACATTATATACAGCAGATACTGGTGTTTTACATATCCTTCTGCTGCACACAGATAAAGACCAGTGTGTCACATTTTCAGTTAATATGTTCTAGGAAATGGGATTTTCCTTCTAAATGTGCGTGCACAGTAATAATATGAAAAAAGGAAAAAACCGGAAAAGAAAAAAGCCCAGCATTCCCTTTGCTGCTTTTAAGTGCATGAAAAGATAATCTAGATTAGCATATTGATAACACCCGCTCCACCGAACCCGCTGAGTTGTACCTCGTGCAGATACTCAAAAAAAAGATGTAATAAAAATTTCAGAGACATTTGTGTCTGACAGGACGAGTTGCTGCGTTTTAAAGTGCAAAAAAACACTTATGATAATCTGCGGTAATCTACTCGGCACCGACTCAGCAGCGCACATCATCCGTTTGAATGCAGAGTACACCACATTCAGAACTCTAAAAATGCTAACACATTCTCTGAGGTGAGAAAAGCTGCGGTAGAGCGTGCTATTCCGTCAAACACACACACACACACACACACACACACACTCCGAGAAAGAGATAGCAATTTATGCACTCTTGTAAAAAGTGGATAAATAGCTACTTTTGCTGCACCTTTATATAAAACTTGTCACTCATGTGAAATGGGCCGGCGCTGTGAATCTTAAAACCACGTCTCCCCATTGAGCACCACCAAAACACCAAGACGGGTGAGGCTGGTCTGGACAGTTGGGGACGGGGGGGGGGGGGGGGCAATCTTCCAGTTCAGAGGTCTTTGGTTTGGTGTCACCACAGTGTAATCTCCAGTGTAATTTAATGTTCCCACTGAATGAATGCACTCTGCTGCACCGACGGATTAAGTAATGATTATTTTGCAAAATTGCAGCCACACAATGGTCAATTAATCTTTAATGAAACTGTAACTTATGAGCTGGAGCTGGAGCTGGAGCTGGAGCTGGAGCTGGAGCTGGAGCTGGAGCTGGAGCGTAGCATCGCTATAAGCAGGCGACCGCGTGCCAAGCCAAGCCAGTTAGGGCCCGTCCGTGGACTCACGTCCACTGCTCGTCTGTCACCATGCAAAAATAGTTTCCTAGAAAGGAATCATAGAGAGTCGGAGTCACAGCTACACAGTCTCCATTTCATGCATTAATGGAACGGTGGAGGGCTGAAACCTGCGGCCGGTGTGGAGGAAATGCAACAGCTCCTGGTGTGTGATGGGAAATTGTGTGTGTGTGTGTGTGTGATGTGTCGTAATACAATGCCAGCTATGTATAGAGGTAGAGGAGTGTGTGCAGTGTGTAAATTGGAAGTACGGTTGTGTGTCGGTTGTGAACTAAACCTCACCTTCTGTTTCATAACAATCAAAGGGAAAACTCAAAAAAAAAAAGACGATTCCTACAAAAGTTTTTATTGAACCAAGAAAAACAAATAATTAAAGCGGTAAAAATTTAAGTATTGACCTGGATAATTATTTGTAAAAGAAAAAAATGAGTGCAGTTTAACAGCAAATGTAATTGCAGTGGTTGTGAATTGCGATCGACTGATTAACATGGTTGAGGACGTGTTCTACAAGCCAACACTCAAATCCTCCAACTCTATGAAGCAAAAGTTTTAATTAAATTTTTTTTTTGCAGAAATTTACTCAACAATTTTCCATATTAATAATTAAAACCACATCAAATAAGAGCAGGTGTGAAACACACACATCCACCTGCTGTCATCTGTCTTTGTGTTCCTGTTTTATACAGAAAAAAATGTCTCATTTAAGAATGTCGGTTTCTCTCACTAAATCAGGATTAATCCACAGCTTTACTTTTATTAATCATTTTAAAAACATATTGTTTGAAAACCCTTAAAAAACCCACCAGTGCAGTTTTCCTTCTGTGACACATGTAACTACTGACATTTAAATCAATGAATCCTGCTGCGGCCCCATGAAAAAGCACTGTGACCCCTCGGAGGCCCTGCCCCACACTTTGAGAACCACGAAGAGTAGATTATTCAATGTTTGTCCTGCAGTTTTCTGAGCGTTCTTTCCACTGAAGCAACAAACGTTGATGGATTTACTTTTATTTCATGACATCATTTCTACCTGGAGTGGGAGGACGAGACGTCGCAGTTGAGTTTGTGCTCAGTGGGAAGAAGGCAGGGAGGGAGAGAGAGAGAGAGAGGGAGAGAGAGGGAGGGAGAGGGAGGGAAAAGCCAGTGAAGCGCTTCCATCGGTCGAATCTCATCTATAATTTAACTCTGTAGCGCCCCGTGAGGTCTCTTCTCTCCATCCACCCCGCTCGCTCTCTGCACCACCGGTGGAGACAAGTGTTCCACTGCAGAGTTCAATGTCCATCCTCATCCGTCCAACACCATCTGCTGCTGACTTTGGGGAGACACGGCGGAACGGTG